AGGGATTCAGGGATTCAGGGGTCCAGGGATGCTGGGATTCAGGGATCCAGGGATTCAGGGATCCAGGGATTCAAGGGTCCAGGGATTCAGGGATCCAGGGATGCTGGGATTCAGGGATCCAGGGATTCAGGGATCCAGGGATTCAGGGGTCCAGGCACTGGGAGCCGGGAATGAGCCTCCCAATCCCACTCCCCATCCCAATGGGATGGGGACAGGATGGGCACAGCCGCGGGCTCCGGGCAGCCCCTTCCCCACCGCTTCCCTTTCCCAAGGGCACAAATCCCATTCCCGAAATCCCAGCAGCACCGCCCTGACTCGCTGTTCCCGCACAGCTCCGCTCACTTCCTTCAGCTTCAGATTCCCGGGAATTCCAGGACTCAGGAATGGTTTGGGATTGGGAGGGACTTTCAATCCCATCCCATTCGCCCTTTCCATGGGCAGGGATCCCTCCCACCGTCCCAGGCTGGCAGGGACACCTCGCTGCGGGAACAATCCTGGAAATGCCGGATAAAAACCTGGGAATCTCCCCAGGGAAGTTTTAGAACCTTTGGGTTTTCCCTATATTTTTTTTCCCTACATTTTCACTTTGGTTGTGATGGGAATCTGCTCCTAGCAGGGCAATGCACCCGAAATTTGGGAAGCTGGAATTTGTGAAAAGGTTGTGCCAGGATCCCTTTCATCCCGGGATCCAGCTGGGAATCCCCAGTGCCAGCAGGGCCAGCAGCCCATTCCAGGATCCTCCTTTTTTTGGGATATAAAAATTCCCCCTTGCTCCTGCTCCAGGAGCAGGATAAGCAGGAATGAAAGGGTGGAAAACAATCCCATGGATCGGTGGGATGTGCAGCTGCTGAGCCACTCCAGAGGCCACGGAGAAATTCCAGGGGCTGGGAATGCTCCCCTGGAGAAGGGAAGGATGCAGGGAGAGCTGGGAATGTTCCCCTGGAGAAGGGAAGGATCCAGGGAGAGCTGGGAATGTTCCCCTGGAGAAGGGAAGGATCCAGGGAGAGCTCCGAGCCCCTTGCAGGGCCTGAAGGGGCTCCAGGAGAGCTGGAGAGGGACTGGGGACAAGGGATGGAGGGACAGGAGCCAGGGAATGGCTCCCAGTGCCAGAGGGCAGGGATGGATGGGATATTGGGAATTGGGAATTCCCAGAGCAGCTGTGGCTGTCCCTGGATCCCTGGCAGTGCCCAAGGCCAGGCTGGAGCAGTCTGGGATGGTGGGAGCTGTCCCTGGATGGATTGGGATGGGATTTAATGCCCTTTCCAACCCCAGCCATTCCAGGATTTATCCATGGATCCAGAAATGCTCCTGTCCAGGCACTTTTCCTCACTCCTCCTGCACAGAGCAGCTTTTCCCTTTGGATTTTCTTTCCCAGAGAGTGAATTTCCCTTCAAAAAAGTCAGGAAATTCCACCCAAATGCCGGCAGGAGAGGTGGGGCTGAGGGGTGGGAATCCAGCACGGCCCTCGGGATGGGGAAGGGTCCCTTGGGATGGGGACCCTGCTCTGGTGTGGGTCTGGAATCAAGAGATGGCTCCAGCAGCCATTCCTGCTTTCCCTGCTGCCTTCGGCATTCCCTGGGCTTCCCTCGGCCCCTCCAGCCTCCCCCTGCTCCCCTCGGTACCCCATCCCACATTCCCCCATCCCACATTTCCCCATCCCACATTTCCCCATCCCACATTTCCCACATTCCCCCATCCCACATTTCCCCATCCCACATTTCCCACATTCCCCAATCCCACATTTCCCCATCCCACATTTCCCAATCCCACATCCTCCCGCACCCCGCTCTCCTCAGCCCTCTCTCCCTCCCGCATCTCTCTGCTCTCCTCCTCAGCGATTCCCACATTCTCCCAC